CAATGTCCATTATCCAGACTTTTTTGTCTTTCTTATCAACAATGGTTAAGTCTGGGGTGTTGTGTGGCAGGTGCTTCTCTGTGTGAATTCTAAAGTCTCGGAGCACTTTAGCTTCCTCATTTTCTATTACTTTGTCTGTTTTGTGGTCCTGCCAGTTCTGGCTTGCAGGCAAATGGTATTTCTTGCAGATATTCCAATGCACCATTGTTGTTACTTAGTCATGCCATTGCTTGTAGTCAGTCTGTGAGATCTTCTTGTAGCAGCTGTCTAGGTGGTCCACTGTTTCTTCAGCTTTTTTGCTGAGGCAGCATTTGCTGTCTGTTGCTGCCTTCTCAATTCTGGCTTTATATGCATTTGTTCTTAAGGCTTGGAGCAGCCAGAATTAGCCCGTTGTCTCTTTCTTCAATTTTCCTGCCGTTAGCCATTGCCAGGTCTTGTTGTTATCTGCTTTGCCTGCTAGTTTTTTTGTGTACTAGCCATGTAATACTTTGCCTTCCCGTGTCTCTTTTCTATTCTTGATTTTGTCTTTCCTATAGGCCAGTTGATTTCTTTAATATTCAGTAAGCCTTCATGGTGGACTACCTTCAGTGCGTCTTCTTCACTTTCTTTCAGATATTCTTCCAATGCCATTTTTTCTTCTTCAACTGTCTGGTGTACTTATAACATTCCATGCCCAACTATGGTCCTTGGTAGGTAGAGTCTGTCAATGTCGCTGCGGGATAAAGGGCATGATTCATTGTTATTATTTTTCTGGTCTTCCTATCCAGGGCTTTTAGATCAGCTTGAGTCCAGCCCACTATTCCAGCTGTATATCTAATGACTAGAATTGCCGAAGTGTTAATGGCCTTGATGGTACTTCCTGCACTGAGTTTGGACTTTAAGATCTTCTTCACTCTTCTGATGTATTTTCTACTAACCTTCTTCTTGACTTCAGTGTGCTTGATGTTGTCAGCCTGAAGGATGCCCAGGTATTTGTAGTAATAGTTTGGACTTTAAGATCTTCTTCACTCTTCTGATGTATTTTCTACTAACCTTCTTCTTGACTTCAGTGTGCTTGATGTTGTCAGCCTGAAGGATGCCCAGGTATTTGTAGTAATCCTCTTCATCCAGACTCTTAATGTTATTTCCACTGGGCATCTTGATTCCTTCAGTTTTCACTATTTTTCCCCTGTTGATGGTAAGGGTGGCACATTTGTCCAGTCCAGACTCCATTGCAACATCTTGGCTGTATGTTTGGACACTGTTGAGCAGCAATTCCATTTCCGATGGTATTTTTCCATACAGCTTCAGATTGTCCATGTAAAGGAATTGGGATAACCCTGGCAGATGTTTTTGATGTTTGATAGCCATGGCCTGACTTGTTCAGTATTGTTCACAGAGGAATCAATGCAATGAGAAACAGTAGTGGGGATAGTGAGTCTCCTTGAAAGAATCCTCTCTTGATGTTAACCTCTCCCAGTCTATTGCCTGCAACTGTGTCTTCCACTGTGCCATTGATCTTTGCACAAAGCTTCTGATGTTTCTACTGACTCCATTTATATCTAGGCACTTGATTATCCAGTCATGTGGCAGGGAATCAAGTGCCTAGAAATAACAAGAGTCATCTGTATATGATGATGATGATTTATTGTTTAATTATTGTTTAATTATTATTAATAATTTATAAATTAATTCATTAATTTATTATATATTAATAATTTATTATTAGTAATAATTTAATTTATTATTAAATTATTAATAATTTATTATCGTTATCATTATCATCTCACGTAGATGTGGTGATGAAGGCTTTGCTGGTTGGATTTCTCAACTGTAGTGTTTTGAAATGTCATGTTCTCAAAGATCAGTCTACCGTTGAAAAAACAAAATATGTTTTAATGTTATTCCTGTAAAAATATTGCAGGCGGGTCTGCCTCTAAGATGCAGCTAGATGGCCATTGCCTTCTATTTGTGGAAAAGAGTGAGATTTCAATGTTGTTTAGGGAAAGTAAGATTTAGCTGTATACCAAACTTTTATATGAAACACAACTAACCAGTGTCAGGATGAGTGTCAGAAGCTGATATACATGGACTCATTTGGAGATGACCATGGTATATGGAAAACTGATTTAAAATGCAAGAGCATGAATCAACAAATGAAATGAAAAAAGAAAAATAGACTGTAGTGGATTGGCTAAGCCTCGAGGTTGGAATGCTGTGGGACACCAGCTTGTTTCAGAGCCACCATACATCTTCCACAGGGAGCCTCCTCTGACATCCTCCCGCTAACCCAGGCGTATGACAAAGGCAGACTCTCACAACCTGTGCTGCTTTTATGGTAATAAAAAAGTACAAAAGCAGAAAGGGAAATAATTTTTATAGTATCACTCCCTGGTCATATAGCACTGAGGCATGTGACTAGGGGAATCAGTCTTCTTCCCCTTCTATTCTTGGGACACAGACTAATCTCACAAGAAATAAACAAAATCAAACTTAATTTTAAATAAAGGAATTTATAAAGTGTAAAAATAAAATTTTACCTTGAATTATTAAAATGAAAATAAACAATGCTGATGAAGAGGAATTACAGAGCTGTTCAGATTAAGATGAACAGCAGTTGATTAAAGAAGAAAAATGCAACAGACAATGTACTCAATCACAGGAGGTTTTGTCTATTATAGGTAGGATTTCTCCATCCCCAAATCTGTAAAGAGAAGACAGGTTTATCATCATCATCACCACCACCCCACCATCACCACCACAAGAAGTTAAAAAGAAAATATGCCAACATTCACATTAAAAACCCAGTTTCCTAATTTACCTCATGATGATGTTGATTTTGATTCTGAAGTCTGCCTGAAAGGATGTATATTGGGAATGTCTGAGTTCTGTCAGATGGCAAGGGAACTACATTCCCACAACAGATACATCTAGAAGAAAATAATGGCTAGAATTTGAATTTGACATATATGAAAAGGAAGTTCTAAATGCTGTAAGAATGTTGAAAAATGGTAAAACTATAGGTATAACTGGAGAAATGTTAAAATATGGATGTAGTTTACTGATGGAGTACTTGTGCAACTTGTTTAACTTGTGTGTAAAGGCTGTTTCTATGCCTGAAGATTGAAGTATGTATTACTGTTCTCTTATACAAAGAGAAAATAGCATAAGTAGATGCAACAACTGCCAAGGGACTAGTTTGATCAGTGCACATGGGAGGGTGTCTGGCAGAGTTCTGATAAAAAGAATAGAAGAGTTAACAATGAGCAAATCTGGGGATGCAGTGTGGCTTTATGCTGAGCAGGGGGTGCACAAACCAGATATTTGCTCTTCAGCATTCATTGAGAAAAGCAGGATGTGACAGTTTATTGTATGCTTTGATTTATTATAAAGTGAATAGGTTTGATTATGAAATGTTTTGTGCAAATATGGAATTGAAAGTTGGTTGCTGAATGCATTATGAGCAGTACCTGATGGAAGTAAACATGCATGAAAATAAATAGAATACTTAGTGAATGATTCAACATTGATGGGAGAGTAAGATGGGGATGTGTAATGTCCTCTTGGTTGTTTAACCTATTTATGGATAAATATATAAGAAATTAGTGTGATAAGGTGTGTTGGCTGAGTGTGTGCATACTTTTGTTTGCAGATTATGCTATGTTGGTAACGGAGAACGTGAATGATTTGCAACAAATGTTAAGCAGAGTGAGTGATATAATGAGAAGTATGGATCTGAAAATGAATGCATCAAAGACCAAGATAGTTGTCTCTGACATGGTATATGGAATTATGTAATATTTATACATAAATGGCAAAAAAGTTCTGATGGAATGTGAAGGTGATCTTGGAAGACGGCGGGGGGGGGGGGAGAGAGATGCTGCCTAGGGAACGGACAGTTAAAAGAGAAACCAGTCCCTGACAGTAACACCCAGAGAAAGAAAC